CCCCTTTTCCAGCGGGTGCCTTACTTCCCTTGGGCTGGGCCAGCTGGTGGTCGGCCTGCTCCGTCTCTGCTGCTTGCCAGCTACGCCTCAGCCGGCGCGGGGGCGGAACCACGCATGCGCGGCACTCCCGGGCAGGGAAAGTCCTCGACTTACGACCGGTTGGGTAGTCCTCGACTTACGACCGGTTTAGTCCTCGACTTACGACCGGTTTAGTCCTCGACTTACGACCGGTTTAGTCCTTGACTTACGACCGGTTGGGGGTCACGGCATTAAAAAGGTTGAGAACCACTGTCTTAAACCAACTGGTTTACTTCACATTCATCTTGGCTGCGATGAATCTATGCAGTGTTTAAGTTGGTATAAAACTCATTAGAACTTCCAGAGTTTCTTGGGTAGGCCACCAGTCTGCTTCTTTCTTCAAACCATTTGCAGTGGTGGAGAGTAAGCAAAGGTGGTTGGAAAGAGTTTAACCTTGTCCTCCTTTCCAGTCTGTTTACAGGGATTCATCTTTTTACTCATCCTAAGCAAACCTCCTTACTACAGTTTTTTTTTTTAAACTTAAACAATTAGCTTGTATGGAGAAGACACTATTGTATGGAGAAGTTTTTAAATAACTAATCTGGACACCGTGCAAATTATACTTGTGCATATCCAGCCTGCTCCCTAAGTAGTTTAAAGATAGGAAAGAGGGAAAGTGGGTGCTTTATTTTACCTCTCAAAACAAGAATTTTGAACCAGTTGGGAGAGGGACCTGGCCAGGTCTACCTATACTGCTGAATAAGGTAGAATAAGGCCGAGAGAGTACAGATATACAGAAACTAGCACAACTCAAACCACCATTACTCCTCAAACTGCTTTCACGGAAGATGTGGCTGGGGTATCCTGAATGACTTTCCCTGATGGCCACATCTGTCAGTGATCAAACCATACTGGCTAAATGGAACTTCCATGTGCAGAGGCAGGGTATCTTTTTATAAGCAGAGGCTGAGGTCTAACTGAAGTAAAAGCAATTTACTTTCATCGACTGCTATTCAGCTTTCAAAAAAGCATTTAGATATTTATGCAAAAGGCATGCTCAGGAAGACTTTCCTTGTTTCCAACATGCTGGAGCACACATTCTCTCCCCACACACGCCCCTTCCTTTTTGTGGCTTCTGAAATCTTCCAGGTTTTAAAGCCAGGGTCTCTGCCAAGGATCTTATGAACTAGTCTTAAAGAAGTAAAACTAAAACCCACCCAACGAATTAGAGACCATTCAGAGCATTATCACTCCTCTATCATGCCTCCCAAAGTAGATCTTGTTTTTTTCCCCCTTCCCGGAGACTGCTGGTATCACCATGCCAGGGCCCCAAAGGAATTAGTAGTTGGCCAGTGCTTCCCCGCTGTGACTTGCAGACAGATTCCAGGGTTAAACTGTTTATATTTTCAGTAATTTATAACCTAGTTTATTTTCCAGTAATTTATAACCTAGTTTATTTATAACCAGATTATATTTCTCAAGTTGTTATGCATGCCTGTGGTGCCCTCTTCAGGATGCAGGATAAGGAACTATCGTGGGAAAGAAATTTTGCACAAAATCTACTGCTTCTCTCTTTCTCACTGTACTCTCATGCAAGAGAGAGAGAGAGAGAGAGAGAGAGAGAGAGAGAGAGAGAGAGAGAGAGAGAGAGAGAGAGAGAGATTCCATTAAGCGTTTGATTTATCTCAGAAAATGGTGGCTGAGCCTAAAAAGAAACACTCATTTTAAGCCAGCAAAGAAACTGTCAATGCATGCTCAGAGTTGATTAAATTTGAATTGGGTTCAGTTCTGTCTCTAAAATAAAATCTGGACAGCTGCAGGTATATTTGGAGCATGAAGCTGTGGTGGCGCTTAAGGAACCAAATTAATTTTAGGTGGTTAAGGCACCAGACTAAAAACCAGGAGACGGTGAGTTCTAGTCTCAATTTAGGCATGAAGCCAGCTGGATGGCCTTGAGCCAGTCACTCTCTCTCTCTCTCAGCCCTAGAAAGCAGGCACTTATGAAAACTTGCCAAGAAAACTGCAGGGACTAGGAGGCAATATTGACATTGGAAGCAGCAACAACAAAAACGAGTTGCACCCATATGTACTGCACTTTAGTGGCATAGCTGTCAAAGCATAAGCCTTTGATCAAGGATGTGCTCTCCATCATGGAATTTTAGAGGTGATTTTGGGTTACTTCCCACTTCTACCTCACAGGGTTGTAGTGAAGATAAAATGAAGGGAGATCTGCAGTCAGGATTCCTTGAGTTCCTGGAGAAGAGGTGGGATATAATCTTAAAAACTCAGACAAAAACTGCACGTTATCCTTGATGGCTATAATCAAATTTGTTTTTTTTAAATTAGGTGAGGTTAGGAAGCATTGTTGCTATTTTTGCTCCTTTTGTGCCTTTACCAACAACCTAGTCCTATTGTGTAGGAAGAGCAGGCAATGTATTCTTTCGCCACTTTATCTCCGTGCCTATAAAGGTGCCTACTAAATTTCCATATAAAGCTCCTTCTGATAAAAGCGCAGCGTTAGACAAGAAGGGAAAAATGACACAAATGCCAGACTGCAATAACAACAATTATGATCAAGGAACATTTTTTTGTGATTAGTAGTCAATGAAGTGTCTTCTGTACTAGTAAAATATTTTCCTGGCCTCTAGCCCATCAATATACAGTATTTTGAATTAAGCGATGTCTCTAAAGGCTATTTAGTGGACAATGTGTTATAATGCTAGCTGTTACCAGAAGATAATAAGATTGCTGGACAACTTACCTTTCTTCAAGGCAGGCCATAGCTAAGCCTGGACTGCTGAAAACTGGCTTGTTCCCTGTTAGGATTTTCCCTAGCAGTATCGTAGAACTAAACAGTAGATTCTCAAGAGTACAGTAAGAAATGTGTAACTGATTCAGACCACCCTACAGCTACTTAGATAATCTCGTTGAAACCAAGAGCATAAAGATTTTCAGGTTCCACATCTTGGATACCTTAGCAAGCTTCCCAGGTCGCACTTTTGAAATAAACTGGGATTGCAAATCCCAGTATTCTCATCCTGAAGGGAAATTCAGATGAGCCAATCATCTCAGAATTAAGGAGGTTGCATCCTCACATATCTGGAAGGCACCAGCCTGAGAAAGGCTGATCCAAAAATCAAATGCCCATTGGTCATGTGGGCATGGAAGGAAAGCTCTTTTGGAAATGAGCAACAAGCTTAGCGCAAAGTGGAGAGTAGAGAGTGCTCAGGAAACTCTTGTCTCTTTAGATGTACAGATACAGAAAGCCACGTTTCTACTCTTCTTCCCTGTTACCAGCTTGTGCTCCCCTTGCCCCTCTCCCCTGCTCTAATAGTAGAATTGGTCAGTACAGGATTCCCTAGACTCTGGGAGTTAAGATTAATTTAAATTGGGAACCAAAAATAACCCTCTTTTGTTTTAAGGGCCGTATTAAAGGTCATAAGTTAGCTAAGTATAGCTGTCACCAAGTTGCTCCTATATATAAACCACTCTGGAGCTCTGAAAATGACTATCTATTAAAGAGATCATATTGGCAGGGATCAGGTACAAAATGTAAGAGGTAGGATGTATTTTTCCTCTGGAATTCACTGCCACAAAAGCAAGGTGGAAAACCACTAACAGGAATTGCTTTCCAGGAAAAAAATATATAGAACAAATACCTGGACAAGAAACAACTGCCAGCTAGACTATGAAACTCAGGAAAATTCCTTTTAAGAGGCAATGTATTTTTAGTGATCAAATACTAAGGATTAGCAAGAGGCAGATATCAGCAATTTGTCTGCTTGGAAACTTCTTGGACCAGCCAGTAAGCCAAAGTCAGAACAGGGGCAGGTGATTCTGTCAAGTTAATTTGTCACAGATTTATTATATAACTTTCCCTCCCTTTCTCCCTCCTTCTTCCCTCCCTTTCTCTTTCTCTCTTTTTCTTTCTTTCTTTCTCTCTCTCTCTCTCTCTCTCTCTCTCTCACACACACACACAAACAAACAAATGTAAATTAATACTGTTTTCCATAGACTTTTCCTAATATATGAATTTCTGCACACACATTTGTTTTTAAATGCAAATGTTTTTCCAGTAGTAAAATGTTTCTCTCTCTCTCTCTCTCTCTCTCTCTCTCTCTCTCTCTCTCTCTCTCTCTCTCTCTCTCTCTCTCTCCCTCTCCCTCTCCCTCTCCCTCTCCCTCTCTCCCTCTCTCTTTTGAATATTTTTATCTAATACACACTTGAGAGGATATCTTTTTTCAGATGTGATCCATGTTAAAAGTTTGCTATTCGCCTGCATTTCAGGCTTGTCTTGAGACATCTAAAAAATAAGTATTGACCAAAAAATATCTGATGATCCAATTTTTTTAATCCCTTTGTCAGAATATAACTTCCAGACAATGTTGATAAAAATGACCATTGCTCTTGCTAATAGTAAATTCAGCTGGGGAATGTCCATTGAAGCCAAAATATGATGGGCACTCCAGGGCTGATCTCTTGATGGGGTGGCACAATCCTGGGGTGTCTTCCAAGGTTACAGCTACTGATAGATTGGGCAGAATAGTCTTTGCCCAGCTTCAATTAGTTCACCAGCTACATTATGGAAATGAATGAATTTCAGTAGCTCACAATGCATGGGTAGGAGGAAAAGAATCTCCCCAAAAACATATGTTATCAAAGCTGCGATGGGTGCATAAATCTCTGTCTGTGAGGCTTCATCTATGGATTTAAATGAGGTCCAGTTCATTCATTCAGGCCACTGTTTGAAGTTACAGCAGTTCTGAAAAAAATGATTTATGACCAATCCTTGCACTTATAATTGTTACAGCATCACCACAGTCAACGAGATCAAAATTAGGGCCCTTGGCAGCTGGCATATTTATGACAGCTGCAGTATTCCAAAATCATGTGATCACCATTTGGGACCCAATACATTGATGAACATGGTGACAAGTCTAAACACAGATTTAATATGTTCCTTCTTTCTTTTTCCCATCTAGAAAGGGAATCCCGGGAGCACGAAGAACCAACCACTTCTGAGATGGCTGAGGAGACCTATTCATCCAAAATGTACAGAAATAAGGGGCTTGGGCGCTTCTCCGAGCTAAAGGTAGAGGCATTGAAGAAAGACCGCAAGAAGAAGTTGACCTTATCGAAGATTGTGGGTGGGGCAGAAAACACTGCACACCCTCGAGTTGCTGCTCCAGAGCTAAGACCAGAATTCGAATTGGTAAGAGCAGCCTTCCTAGACCTCTAAGACAGATACCTTCCTTTCTCTATATCTTTCAGTCTTGCTTTTCTCCCTCTCGTGTTCCTGCTCCCTTTACTTTGAGTGGAGGCCATTACCCAGAAGAGCTTGGAATGGTATGAGGCAGACATTAGAGCTGGTGGACATCCAGCGAGACAGCCTTAAAGGCTCAACATGGAGTGGGAAAACTGTAACCAGAACTGTTTTGAGGGCAGTATTGTTCAAAATTTTTATTAATTACCTGGATAAGTGTCAGTTTGGTCTAAGAGTTAAGACTCCAGGCTAGAAACCAGGAGACTGTGAATTCTTGTCCGGCCTTAGATATAAAAGGCAACTGGGTGACTTTGGGACAGTCATTCTCTCCTAGCCTAACCCACCTCACAGGGTGGTTATTGTGAGGAAAATAGGAGGAGGAAGGAGTATTGTGTGTTTGATACCTTGAGTTATTTATAAAAATAATACAGGCTGGATAAAATAAATAAGTAATAGGATTGGTGAGCTGCTTATCAACTTTCTGGATGACAACATTAGGAGGCCTGACTAATATATCAGAGGCAATATTTTGGCCAATGCCAGAATGTCAGAACAAGATTTCAGTCTAATTTGGTCAGATAGGAAGACTGGGCTGAGAAGAGCGTGTTGTCTGTTAACAAGGACAAATGTAAGTTATTATATTTAGAGAGAAAAAGTACAGGATGCATATACAAGATAGGAAACTCATGGCTTGGAACTATTACATCTGAGAAGCACATGGGTGTGGTCCTTGTCAACAAGCTGCACGTGAATCAGCCATGATTCCATTTTCTCCTGGTGTTTTTACCAAAAAGACAAGGGTGTTTTGTTTTGTTTTTTCATTTTTGTCAATTTGCTTGCATTGTTTCAGTTGGCTTAAGCTGAGAAACCAACCAGGGTTCTAAATGGCACTACACATGTTTTCCAAACCAACAATCCAATTTCAAATTTCTATGAGGTTATCAGACCTGCCAAATTTCAGATCAAAAAATTTCTGTTTTACAGACCCAAATCGATCGAAGAGCTTGCTTTCTCTCTTGATTTCTCCAGTAACCTTTCTATGATCTGGACAGGCACCATCAGAAAGTTTCTGTAATTTTGTTCCTGCTAAAAATGCTTAAATGTGAACTCAATTTGGACTTTCATTCAGAGAAATTTGTTTGGCTCCTCAGCTTTTCATAACTTAAACCAGGGAGGCTTATTGATTATGTTTGCAATAGTCAACATAAGAGGGAGTCTCTCACTGCTTTTATATGCCAAAGGAACAATCTTCATCTTTCAAGGAATTTGGAGAAGGCAAAAGAGCAGGTGGGCTGTTGTGGTCAGGAGGGCCTTTGCACAGTTCATCTTGTGCACCAGTTGTGCTCTTTATTTGATCAGGAGGCCCTTCAGACAGTTACCTATATCTTGGTCACCTCTCATTGGATTAGTGCAATGTGCTTAAAATGGGGCTCCCTTTGAAAATCACTGGGAAGTTACAGCTGGTTCAAAATGCAGTGGCACTTTAAGCATTAACAGGCAGTACTGAATATGTCCCTGTGTCACTACTGCTCTGCCAGCTACACCAGCTGCCAATTAGTTTCCAAGTGTAATTCAGGGTGCTGGTTATTACTTATAAAACCTTTATGGCATAAAGCTTGGATACCCAAGAGACCACTTATTCAAATCATCAGTGTGTTCCAGCACAATGAGTGCACTCCAAGTCACCTCCACTAATTATTGCCATGTTATGGGACTTAGGAAGCCTGTCCTGTCTGTTGTAGCCCCCAAACAGAATTCCCCTGGTCTAGCCTCCCAGATAAAGATGGCATCCTCTTTCTTGGGGTTCTGGAAAGCTTTAAAAAATCTGACTTTGTCCCAAGCCTGAGATTTATTATTTCTTCAATGCCCTCTGTTTTGTTTTATCCATTTTGTTGTTTATTGGGTTGTTTTAGTCTAGGTTGTCTGTCTGATTTTATGTTTTTAGCTGATCTGTTTGTTAGTTAGCTTTGTAAAAAGTGGCCCAGAGTCCACTGACATTGGGTGGCCAATATATTTAAATAAATAACAATATTAGCCCTCACACTCAGATAAATTAAGCCATTGTCAAAATTGGTGTCCCTAGGAGTATACTATAGTTCAGGGGTCTTCAAACTTGGCCCTTTTATGACTTGTGGATTTCAACTCCCAGAATTCCTCAGCCAGGCACGCTGGCTGAGGAATTCTGGGAATTGAAGTCCAGAAGTCATAAAAAGACCAAGTTTGAAGACCCCTGCTCTCGTTATAATCTGACCCCAAGTCAGAAGCTCTGCGTTCATCCACTTTACCATTGATTGTCTTAGTATTCCTTAACCAACCTTTCTCTGGTTGCTTCTCTTTCTTCAGGGCCCTTGCCGTCGGCAAATGGAAGCCTCGTTACAGGAGCTCAAATCTAGTCAGCGAATGATCCCTCGAGCTGTTCATCTGCCCAACTGTGACAGGAAAGGTTTCTATAAAAGGAAACAGGTATTATTTCCTGCTGGATTCAAAATAAAAAAAATGTATGCTTTGCAGATAAGGAGCAGGGATAAATTTGCACCATTTTTTCATTGTCAGTCCAGACATCAGAACTGGGTTTCTGGCAATGGGAAACCTCTTGTCCTACCACTATTTTGGAGTTTTGAATCCCAGGCCATAGCTGAGACAGAAATTAAATTTGTTCAGTTGTGGGAAGGCTATAGAAGCCCCAAAAAACTAGGGGGGAGGAAGGCTACAGTTTAGATCCAGAATCACTGCAAATGTCGTATATGACATAATTCCAGATAGGATATTTTTTTCCCCCTGTGTTAGAGGGTAGGCCAGTCACCACCTCAGGAGTGCACTGTGTAGCCTTCCCCTGCACCCCAAATAATTAAATTTCTGACAGTGAGGGAATATTCTGTAAGATCAGTCCTACTGAGCTAAGTATCCAGTTGGATTTATATTTCTGTCCTCCTCTCCTGACAGCTTGATGATGTTAAAAGTTCAGATTAATTCCACGCAAGATGAATCAGGTGTTAGAAATGGCAGCCCAGCTACCCTCCTTCTCACTGTTGATCCTTTCCCTTCCCCTCTCTAGTGCAAACCATCTCGGGGCCGAAAACGTGGGCTGTGCTGGTGTGTGGACAAGTATGGATTGAAGCTGCCAGGAACTGATTATGTAGCTGGAGACCTGCAGTGTCACAACTTTGACAGCGGAAACACAGAATGAAGATCCCGGCTGCCTCTCTCTGCCAGAGCCCTTCCCCACCCATCACCCACCCACACCTCACGATGCCCCAAGAAACTGATTCCTTTCATCTCATTTAAGAAACTGTGGACCTCGGAATCTACAGAATGTCATCGGCTTCTCGGAGTGGCAATGACAAGAGACTGAAGGAGAAAAGGCAACCCATTAAAGGCGGAAGGAAGGAAGGGAGGAAGGAAGGAAGGAAGGAAGGAAGGAAGGAAGGAAGGAAGGAAGGAAGGAAGGAAGGAAGGAAGGAAGGAAGGAAGGAAGGAAGGAAGGAAGACCATGATGACCACCTCCATGGGACAGGGCCATCAAGAAGCTCATATGCCACCATGCTTGCCCTTGACTCTAGCCTGCCACCCAGAGAAGCACTGACCTAGGAAGCTCTCAGAGGCACTTGAATACTATTTCCTTTTCTCCCTTCTTTGATATTGCAGTTTTAAAGTCTTTCCAGTTTAAAAAGTACTTAGTTTAACCAAACAACTCTTAGGACAAGCAGGCCTCTCATTATCTATTATCTACTTGGGCATGTTTTTCTTTCTTTCTTTCTTCCTTTTTTTTTTTTTTTAAAAAAATGTTCATTTCTGGAACCTCTCTCTCTCTTTTCCCTAACAAGGACTAAAGCTTGTTGGTGCCCTTGCCCTCTATGACTTCCCTTTTATTAAAAAGCAAAAGGTCAGATGACAACAGGATCCTATAGTGGGATGAAGCAAAATTAAGAATTAAAAACTTATTGTTCCCGGTGGGTTTCTTTCCCAGGACAGCAAAAGGGTTCAACCTGATTATTTAAAGTGTCTTGTACAGCCCTTTCCTATGTAAATACAGATGTGTGCGCAGATGTTTACTCTTTGTTCTCGATTGAACAATCCCAGTTCCTTACATGCAAAGCCCTTTGATTTTCATTGTGCATGAAGGCCCAGCAACTTGTTCAGGGCTACTTGCATAAGTCAAAGGTGTTCAGAGTTGTATATTTGCAGGAAAAGTGCCCAAGTTGAAACATGGTTTGCCAGACATCTTGCAGGCACTTAAAGCCTGAAATGTTTGTTGCTTCTATAAACACACCTGTGGATTTCCACCTTCTGACAGGCTAAAACAGTAAGATCCCTTTGCCTTTTTTGTGTTTTTTTTATAACTCTGGAAGGACACCTGATTCTTCACTATGATATCCCAAATGTCCTTTACAATGAAAATTCCAAGAAGCTGGTTGACGATTTATAAAATTACACGTACTAGAAATGTAAACATGATCTGTAATAAGGGAAATGTTTTACCATTTCCCCATATCTACAACATTTAGAGAAGTCTCTGTAGGCAGAGGCCTCTACTATTTCAAAGCATACTTGAGTGACTGGCTGCCCCTCTCCCCTGACAGAGCTTTGGCATCTCTAACAGCTGCTTAGTAAGCAGAAATTCAACAGTGAAGATTTGATCTACACTAATGCATTATTTGTCCTGGGGAGAAGCTGTATCTATTTAATTTTTGACACTGCCCCACTGTTAAAGACCTAGGGACCCTGTCAGGAAAGGAAGAGAAACCAAACCCATACAACCACTTGCAGAGACCATTGATTCAACAGCTTTTGCATGCAGGCTTGGGCAGACCACTAAAGCTGTTTAATTTCTTTGTAATGATAATTGTTGCTTTAATTCTTTGTTACGTCTCCACGGACGCTGCCATAACAAGGTGGTGGTGGTGGTTGTTGTTGTTTTCCAATGCCCATAACAATGGATGAAAGGCAAGGCAACTACAAGAAGGAACAGCTCCCATTCTGACTGGGGGAATGAATCCTTGACTCAGCAGCCAGCAAGAAATATTGGGCCACCATGATCTAGCCCAATATAAGACAGTCCTTAATATGTTTCCCTTCTGAGAGAGAACTCCAAAGGACTTGAGGACTTTGCTGGGACTGGCTGCAAGCACTTCCAAGCCAAGTACTGATCAGAAACCTGGAGAAAGGAGCTGGCTTCCTGAGAGCAGGCACAGCAAGCCCACGACTGTCCAGCATCTGGAAAGGACAGTCTGATAGGATCAGAAGGACACCCATGATGCACAATACTCACAACTAACACAGATGAAAGGAAATAAGAAATCTTCCTGACAGGATTGGCTATTGCATCCAAATGACTATGGTGGGTTTTGCTCCTCGGCTCCCCTCCCTTCACCACTAATATTCAACTAGGTTCCAAAACTATGTTGGAAAGCTAATGAATATCTTGCATTAGCATGGATATGGGAATTGGTAAGCAAATTGGGATATTTGGCCTCACTATGAAAGCAGAAGGTAGATGAGTAAAATCCTCTCCTTATAAGGATGGATACAACATTGATTTCTTCAGTGGGTATACATGTTTGAAGTCTGATTAGTTGTTGGCTACTATCAACCATGAAAGAAAAATTCAGCTCTATCCATTTGCCCCACGTCTTGATATCTGATCCAATTATTTGTTATTATTCAGATTTCCAGAAATTGTCACCTCTAAGTGCTCCATCTGTCGCCTTCCCTGGGCTTTGGCAGCAGTGATTTCATAGTTATTCTTCTAAGAGTTGAGTATCAGACTACCATGAGTTTTCATACAAACAAATGGTTGAACTGTACTTTTGGCTGAAATATTTGCTACTGTGACAGCTGAATCCAAGTACTTTCCCCCTTCCCATCCTGCTTTTGGAAGAGGACAATATGCCTAAGTTTACTATCTCCACTGGGCTAGTAACTGGTTGAACTGTTTATGTCCTCTTCCCTTTTAAGAAAGCCCTGGAATATTCTGCTGGCTCTATAATTAGTCAAAAGCCTAAACCTTCCTTTCAAATTCTATGATAGATAAGATGCTAGAGACCGCTAATGCTAATTAATGACAGTGTGGGTCTCCAACTCTAAAAGTGTTGGGACAGTGATACTCAAAATCCCCAGGGAAAAAGCTCTACTGTTAGGATGGCATCAATGGCATCAAGCAGAAGAAGGTTGATCTACATAATAAATCCAGAAATTGTATGAATGGACTTCTCTGTCCCAAGTACATGATGCATGAAAAGAGTGCATATCAATGTGATGGTGAAAGGAGGAAGCGATTCGGGGCTGTTGGCAACTTGAGGCACTTTTTTGCCAGCCTCTGTGATAACTTAAGCCCAAGCAAAAAGATTGGTGCATGATTTTAGATTTTCCATCAGATCTTCTATGAGGAGTTGGGAAGAGTTAAATCCAATCCCCATCAATCATTGCTAAACCACAGCCTTCTCAAACCCTGGTGAGAGAATTTCTTCTCCAACGATAGCCAAATGGCAGTCAGGGGTCTCTTTGGAAAAATGGTCAATGTTTCAAGCTGGGATGACCTAATATTGTAAATGAGTAATTTGTCTTAGAATTCCTTCAAATGACCAATTGCTGCCATGGTTATTCCTGTCTTTACTCTGGACCTGGCATTTCCAGGGGAAGTTCGTTGCAAAAACCCCTTTGCCTTCCTTCCATTATAACTAGACTGGACTAGAGAACAGAATGGTCCTGCTCATGTATGTCGTATCTGCTAGTTTGTGATGTTTGATGGTGGAGGTTGAGTTTGGTCCCCTTTTGAATGAATCTGACCCTGCCTAAGGTTGGGTTGGAGCCTCTTTATTGTCTATAGGGCAGGGAATCTTAACAAAAGCATTTGTCTCTGGGCCCACAGGATGGCTTTAAGAGAGAGAGGAAGCCTGAGGATTCTAAAATCAGTGCCTCCTCCCATAAAGCTAAAGAAGAGAAGGTGAGGTATATACATGCCATCTGCTAGTCCATAAAGTAGAAGAAGATGTACTAGGCACATAAAAAAGTGAGGCAATTTTACAGGTCATGCTGGATTTCTGTTACTATATATATATGTTTTTTTTTGCTTAGCTCTTCCCAAAGTATTCTGACAACTATAGCTTTCTAAGTGTGTTCAGAGTCCTACTATATGACTGAATTTCCTAAGGTTCCTAGAAAGAGAAATAATCATTACGTTAGAAAGGAAGATTATTGTTAAGTACGTGTCAGTCTGAGATACAAATTACAAATCCTAAATTACATAAGACGAAAGAATGTAACTCAAAACCTTCTTCCTCCCCCCCCCCCCGGACTGGTTTCAATTCAAACCATGTTATTTCCTTTTCCTCCTCCCTCACCATCCTTCCTTGATATGTATCTGTTGTTTCCTGACACTTGAAAACACTATCCTGCACAGAATGTCTTTCTTCCTTTCCAGCCTTTCTTCCTTAGTAAATAGGCTTGAGAAAGGTTTGCTGGCCTTCCTATCCTTGAGACACATAAGACAAATTCTACAGTCAAGGGAGGTGACTCAACAGAATAATTTCCCCTTATAGTTGTTCCCTCGCCAGTCCTGACGCAATGTTGCTGCCACCACTGTCTCAGAAACTCATAGTCCCGTCATCTCATTATTTTGCTGGCTGAGACAAGAAAGAAAAACCTATGTACATTAGCTATAGTAGAACCTCTCTTATATCTGTATTATTTAACCTTGACTTAAATAGCCTGGAGGATAGGGTCACCGTTGTAGACTTCAACCTGTAGAAGGCCATTTCACTGGATTTCTTGCCCCAGCACTTAAAATCTCATTAGAAATGCAAGGAAGCTCCTTTTGTAAGCCATCCCTGCAAGCTTTGATTATTTCTAGGAAAGGTGAATAAAGCAAAGTGGGAGGTGGGTTCCTTCTTATGAGGGCAGCTATCTTTAGAATTAATCTTTATTCTTTCTCCACCTACTAGTCTTCTTTACTTCTTTCCTGCAAAGGAGAGGTCTTTCAAGGTTTCTTGCCCAAGCTCCAAAATAATTTGATCAACCATGACCTAGGGTGGAGGAAAAGGGAAGCAAGTCACTTTGGCCAACAACCCAGCTGCTTTGAATCTCATCTTCATCCTTGACCAAAGGGAGAAGGCTCCCCTGATTTTTTTCTCCGCCAATAAATGACCCTCCTCCCATCAGAGGAGCAAATCAGAGGAGGTAAGAAAAATGATAAAAGACAAAGCAGTGGGGAAAGCTCCCTTCAGAAGTACAAAGAATTGAAGTGTGAAGGAGGCTTTGGAGGCACCAAAGGTGGTAAATTCTGAAGTCCAAGAGCATCACCAGCCAATTGGAATTAGGAGCAGACCTGGACCTCTAACAGCCTTCTCCAGCCTGAAGAATCTCCAGATGTGTCA